TTTTTTAATTCATTGATTTAAGCAATGCACTGTAGGCAATGGCGGATGAAAAAGAACCTGAAATGGAGGAAGATTTATCAACGTTACTAGACAGTGCGCTTGCAGATTTTAGTAAGCCAAAAAATACTGATGATGAACTGGATTCACTGATGGCAAAAATGGATGCTGAAGCAATGGAAAAAGCTGCACAAAATTTTGACAAGTCAATACAAAAAAAGAAACAAAATTTTGCTGCATATTCAGATACTGCTAACCTCGACAAGGTAAATCCTTTAAATTACTGTTGGTTTTTATTTATTCTGCTTATCTCCAAGTACAAATAATATCAGCTAATTATAATGAATGTGTCTTAATTGACCTTTCTTGTCTAAATGCAAAAATTTACTCAAAAATTTCACATTTGATGTAGTAAAAAGTAATCTTTTTTTTTTCTGACTTAGTTGTTTCATAAGCATATATAATATTTCTATGCATATTTTATTTATCTTTGATTTTCAAAAATTTTTACAATTTTCGAATGTTTGTTTAAACAATTCTGTTTTGCAGCATATCGTAGAATAAGAGTAACTTCATTGATCCATAGTACTCCAATTAAATCCTTTAATCTATAAATTTTAAGGATTTTTTTTTTGTTAGAAATGAAATTGAAGCCCGAAGACCTCCAGTTTCATAAATAGAAGAGAAACACAGCGTTGAAGTGACTAATAATTTTTTAAGACCAACTTTTAGCCTGAATAATTTTTGTTGTAAAAATAACACAAGTAACATTTTTTACTCGGTGTTTTGTTTACAGAATCTGGATTTGAAAGCTAGCGGTAGTCAAAATGGTGGCCACGTTTTGACTTCAGAGGAACTTAAAGAAGCAGAAAATTTTCAAAATATGATGAGAGCATTGATACGAGCAGAAGAAAAGTCGCGATTGGCTCAGGCAGCCGAAGCTGAAGGAAGCGACATTGATAGTGTTGCAAGTGAAGAATTGTTTAAGAAGCTGAAGGTTTCAGTTTTTTCTTTTTCAGTATTAGATGTCATTAGGTGCGGAAATTTGAAGTTTTGTTGGCTGCTCAAGTTGCTACTTTTGCCACAGCTGTTTACAGCTGACAAAAGTGCTCTCATTTTACTTATTTTTGATGTTTTATGCTCCAGGCATATATCGAATGTGATCCTGCAGAATGTCTGAGTGATCCTACTTGGCTGTCTGTTATGGAACTCGCCAAAACATTATTTGCAAAGGATTTTATGTATGCACCTGTGAAGCAGATACACGTCGACTTTTTAGAGTAAGTAACTGGTCTTGTGTATAAACCGGCCATAAACTATATGACCGTAAGGGATTGTGAGGAACCCTTTGATGTGTAACATTACCACGTCCTGGGATTCACAAAATTGGGTAAAACGAAGGAGATTAATGGGCAGTAAACCATTTCAGCGAAATTTCTGCTAGGACGGAAACTAACTTCTTTCATCTGCTTTACTCTTAGAAAAAGAAGCTTCTTCTGATAGTTCTAGTTCCTGGTCGTGTGGCTGCTGTATTGAACAACAACTTTTTTTTGCTTCTGTATAATAAGCGTCTGTTTCGTGTTTCATGACTTCTGGTTTCATTCTTTATTTTCTTCTTTTTATTTTGAAGTTCTGTAATTTTATAACGATCATACGGGTAGGTAATGAGGATGAGGTTGTTTATTTTTGAGGTACAGCCGTAGTTCACTTTAGGTAGAAACCAACTTAAATAAAAGTCGGTTCGATGGGTAGAGAAAGAAATCTGCCCCAAACAGCCTCTGAAGCACAACAGTTTGAATTTTTAGATTCCCAGAAGTAATTATCTCTTACAACTTCTTGGCCTAGTAGGTAGCACAATTCTATTTTTACAGGTATATGGCTGGTCATCCGAAACTTGAAGATGAAGTGAAACAGAATTATGAGAAACAGATCGACATTTTATCTCGTATTTGTAAGGTTTACGAGGAGGACCAAGGCGATGATGAAAGTTTTTGCAGTCGGAAAGCGGAAGAGATATGTAATTTAATAATGGAATTCCAGTCTTACGGTTATCCACCTGATGAAATTGTGGGTGCCATGCCACCCGGCTGGTCAATAGATCAACTTTCCGGAGTACCTCGTGTTGATGACATATCAAAAGCGGCAGATGCATGTAGTTTAATGTAATCTCTTCTAGATTTTTAAATTCTGTTTTGTTATCTAGACGACTCCGGCGTCAAAGCATTGTTGTTGAATATTTCTAATTAAGGAGTTTGTTGAAACTGTGATATTGAACAGAACTAGTAAGACACACTAGAAAACAGTTCAGAAATAATTACTTTGTATAGTTGTTTTCATAGTTCTTTAAACCCTATATTAGTACTTACGTTTTAGCTAAACTAGTTCACACAAATTTCTTAATTATATTTCATTGTCCTTTTACCCCCTTTTGTTGCCTCGAAATCAGCATTTGCTCAAATACGTCTGCCTTTTATAAAGCTTACAGTTATCTATTGAACTTTTATTACTTGAATCTTTGAAGCTCCTGCTCATAATATTGTCAGCCTTTTCCGGTATATCTTAAATAGGTGGTTGGATTTACGGAAGTGAACCCTTTTCAATTTTCTGAAGTGATGTTTTAACTTTTAATCAGGCACTCATTTGTTTTTAGATGTCATTACAAGATTTCCTTGAGTTCTCAGCCTCTGTATTAGGAATTTCCCTGTTTGATCCATTTCAGTTTGTCATACCGTAAGAGTAAACTTTAATAAGTTGTTTAAATATTGTGATCGATGCAATATATAAGCTGCAAAACATGGTCGGGTGCTTCCAGTGTAAATCGGAAAAAAGCAGAATAATACTGTGTCACACATTAGTCTTTAAACTCTTGGACAATTGATGCAGTGTGAGATACTACTAAAATTAGGAAGAAAAGTTGTATGACCATCTTGTCAGCTCTTCCTCTGGGCTCGGTAATGGGAAATAAGCCTTCTTCAATTTGTATCCTTTGCTCAACTCTAAACTAGGATTTCTCATCACTAGAACTTGGCGATTTTGATTTCACAGTTATTTACTGTTTTCACGGAGCAGCTTTAGCTGCCTAGCAATTCTGAGGCCATTTAGTGTACGAAGGGGATATTAAAACAAATTTTAGGTTTTTCTTCTATACAGCTGCAGTTTTTAGAACCACTTATAGTTTGAATGCTGTGTCCAGTGATTTTGCCACGGGAAAGTTTCGGATGTTTCAAAATGTGTTCCTCTGACGCAACAATAGCTGCAAGTAACTCCACGAGTCTTGGGGTTCCTGGATCAAAAATGATTTATGTGTTAACTGGAATAATAATATAGCTAAAACACTCCAGTATTTAACAGATTATCGGTACATATGGTTGTTGAGGATTCGGCTATCTGAAGACTTATAAAGCAGATTTAAAGAACCAGAAGGGTCAATTTTAAAAGGCCAATAATTTAGAGTTGCTATTAAATGAAAGTTAATATGAAAAAATTTCAAAAGCTTCAATCCTGTCAAACAAGATTTTCGGCTACCTACTGTGCATGCAGTAGAAATTCTAAAAAAAAAGTTTTTTAGCTTCTCTGCAACTTTGATGACGTCAAAAATGAATTTCCCTTCTCGATTCCTACTTTGTCTGTGTATATTGTTTATATATTCTTTTAAGTCGAACGTGAGATGGTATTCTGTTAGAGATTCATCTCTTCGTAAAAGTGACAAAGTGACAACGATATAGAGTGCTAAACAAAATGTTGACTTCTGAAACCGATAGAACTTCATTAAGTGGGACTTACATTATTTCCTCAGCTGCTGTGAGGGGCTGACCGTAAATGACTTTTTAAAATCTGCAGAAGTAGCATCGAGGCGCCGACTATGAGTACATAAAAATGAATTCTTCCAAAACAAAAAAAAAAAAAAAAAAAAA